AGTGGAACCAGCCCAAGAGAGAGAAGTGTGTTGCACTCAACACAGATGAGAAGAGTTGAGATCTGAAAAGAGCTTTGACACTAGAGATGGAGACGTAGAGTTTGAAGCTTGCCCAGCTGGTTTTGAGTCTTGCTTTGATCCAGTATTTCCTTACTGTGCTGCCTTTCCTCCCTTTTGGAATGATAATGTGTGTTCTGTGCCATTGTATGTTGAAAGTATGTGCTCTTCTTTTCTATTTTGACTTTATAGGAGATTACAGTTAAGAGATTGCCACAAGTCTCAGAAGAGACTTTGAACTTCTGAACAGTGTTGAGATTGTTACAGACCATGGGGATTTTTGAAGTTAGATTCGATCCATTTTTGTATTATGATATGGCTACAAGTCTGTGGGGACAAGGGAATGGAAAATAGTGGTTTGAAATTGTCCCCATAGGCTCAAATATTTGTATGCTTAGTCTCTAGTTGGTGACCTGTTTGAGAAGGGTTAGGAGGTATGGAGTAGGTATGGCCTTGCTGGAGAAAGTGTGCTACCAGGGGTTGGATTTGAGGTTTCAAAAGCCTATATTAGGCCTAGTATCTGTTTCTGTCTCTGTCTCTCTGTCAGTTTCTCTCTCCTTTCTGACCCTGTGTCTATCTTTGTTTCTGTCTCTGTGTCTATGTCTATCTCTATTTCTATCTCTGCCCGCTGCCTAGAGATCTGGATATAAAGCTCCTAGCTACTTCTTCAGCACTATATCTGTCTGAGGGCCACCATGCTCTCCGTCACAGTGATAATGAACTAAGCCTCTCCAGTTACTTTCCTTTATAAGAGTTGCTTTGCTTATAGCATCTCTTCACAACAGTAGAACAGTAACGAAGACACCTATCTGAAGATATTTCATGGCTTGAGGGAGGCTAGATACGGAAGAGAGATGGGGAAGCCAAGGCAAGAATGAGGAATAGTTGAAGATTTTTTTTTCTAGATGGCCATGGCAATGGAATGTGTGAAGGAGGAAAACTTTTATTGAATAATAACTGTATGCTTGGTACTGTGTAATAGATTTATATATTACAATGGTGAATTATTTCTAAAATGTCTAAGATATGTCCTTGATCAACAATACCTCTGAAATATGAGTACCTTAACTTCAAAGAGAGAAAAATAAGAGAAAAAAATTTGCTAGATTGTTATTTGTAACAAAAATGAACAACTTTTGAAATAGTTATAACCTAAAAAATTTAATATTCTGTATAGACACCTTGAATTTCATACAAATACATTTTACAAATCAGTTGAAGAATGCAATATGTTCCTATCATTATTTTTAAAGATTAAAACATCTGCATGTTCCCAGAAAAGAAACAGCATGCTCTGTAAAACCCCCAAACCTTAGACACATAGGCATGCATACAAAAATACATTCTGTTTAGTTTTTCACACGATGAGAGTCAGGATGTGCAATGCTCACTCACCACCTTAGAGCTGCCAAGAAATATGTAGATTTAATTCTTTGGAAATGCTTGAGGGAGAGTCTGTCATCCTTGAAGCTGATATAATTGCATCTGTAGAACCTAAAGAGAAGGTGATGCAGTTAGTCTGATGAGAAGGTGGCTCTGCACAAACTGTTCTTCTCCAAACTCCTCCCCCCTCCTGCCTGTATATCTGCAGTGTCCCCATGATATCCAAGGTCTTTACAACGTCTCCTGCCTGGATGACATCATTTGGGTCACCCATCAGTTTCATTTTCTTCTGTCTGCAAGCCATGATGACAACACGATGGAGTATCTTAGCATCACTACGCCCTGTACTGGCTGATTTTATCATCATGACACAAGCTTGAGTCATCAGAGAGGAAGGTGCCTGACAAAATGCCTCCTTAAGGTTCAGTTTTACTTCTGGCCCACTTCCCCACCAGGCCAGATCAGCAGTCTGGCAGATATCTGCCCAAACACTGCAGCCTGTGTGCTTCCCAGGAGGTCCTCAGTGACCAAGGACACAAGTGAGAATTTCACCCAAATAACCATGCTAGCTGGAATATCTACATAGCCCAGATGACTTGGGAACTACTTCCCCCACCCTCTCACCCTCTCAGGTCTACCTTTCTTCCTACCCACTTTTCCACAGCACCAGATCATTTACTGGAGAAATACCTGCCTAAACACAGCAACCTGTGTGCTTACTAGGAGGTCTGAAGTGACAAAGGGCAGAGAACTCTACCTTCCTTCTGGTCGACTTCCCCACCCAGGCCAGACCAGCAGCTAGATACCTGCCTAAGTGCTACAGGCCAAGAGCCTCCCAGGAGGTCCACAGCAACCAAGGGTACAGGAGGTCTGCAATAACCAGGGGCACAGGAGCCCTGCTCTAACCAGAGACACAGGAGGCCCACTCTAACCAGAGACAACACTGCCTGCCTCCAAGAAAACGAGCCCTAACTCAGGTCACAGAGCTCTACCTGCCTCCAAAGAGACCAGTTTCAGTCAGAGACACTCAGACCAGTTAACAACTGAGAGAACCAAATGACCAGAGGCAAGCACAATAACATAAATGACAGAACCCAATGAGATTTGGCACCATCAGAACCCAGTTCTATCACCACAGCAAGTCCTGGCAACCCTAATATGCATGAAACCAAGAAAATGACCTAAAATCCCATCTCATGAAGACAACAGAGGCCTTTAAAGAGGATATAAAGAACTCTTTTGAAAAAATACAGGAAAACACATGCAAATAGGTAGACACCCTTAAAGAAGAAACAAATTAATCCCTTAAAGAAATACAGGAAAATACAATCAAGCAGGTGAAGGAGTTGAACAAAACAGTCCAAGAACTAAAAGTGGAAATAAAAACAACAAAGAAAACAGAGAGAGAGGCAATCCTGGAGATGGACAGCTTAGGAAAGAGATCAGGAGCTACAGATGCAGATATCACCAAGAGAATAGTCCCAACTATTCTCTTGGGAAACAAGCTGGAGTAGCCATCCTAATATCAAATAAAATCGACTTTCAACCAAAAGTAATCCAAAAAGATAAAGAAGGATACTTCATACTCATTAAAGAAAAATCTACCAAGATGAACTCTCAATTCTGAACATCTACGCTCCAAATGCAAGGGCACCCACATACATAAAAGAAACTTTACTAAAGCTCAAAGCACACATTGCACCTCACACAATAATAGTAGGGGATTTCAACACCCTACTCTCAGCAATGCACAGATCATGGAAACAGAAACTAAACAGAGACACAGTAAAGTTAACAGAAGTTATGAACCAAATGGCTTTAACAGATATCTATAAAAACATTTCATCCTAAAACAAAAGAATATACCTTTTCTCAGCTCCTCATGGTACCTTCTCCAAAATAGACCATATAATTGATCACAAAACAGACCTCAACAGATACAAGAAGATTGAAGTAATTCCTTGTATCCTATCAGATCACCTCAGACAAAGGCTGGTCTTCAATAATGACAAAAACAATGGAAAGCCCACGTGGAAACTGAACAACACTCTACTCAATGATGACTTGGTCAAGGAAGAAATAAAGAAATGAAAGACTTTTTAGAATTTAATGAAAATGAGGACACATCATACCAAAACTTTTGGGACCCCATGAAGGCAGTGCTAAGAGGAAAACTCATAGCTCTAAGTGCCTACAAAAAGAAACTGGAGAGAGCATACACTAACAACTTGACAGCACACCTGAAAGCTCTAGAACAGAAAGAAGCAAATACTCCCAAGAGGAGTAGATGGCAGGAAATAGTCAAACTCAGGGCTGAAATCAACCAAGTAGAAATGGAAAGAATTATACAAAATATCAACAAAACCAGGAGATGGTACTTTGAGAAAATCAACAAGATAGATAAACTCTTAGCCAGACTAACCAGAGGGCACAGAGACAGTATCTAAATTAATAAAATCAGAACTGAAAATGGAGACATAACAGCAGAAATTGAAGAAATTAAAAAAAATCGTCAGATCTTACTACAAAAGCCAATACTCAACAAAACTGGAAAATCTGGATGAAATGGACAATTTTCTAGACAGATACCAGGTACCTAAGTTAAATCAGGAGCAGATAAACCACCTAAACACTCCCATAACCCCTAAAGAAATAGCAGCAGTCATTAAAAGTCTCTCCACCAAAAAAAACCCAGGACCGGATGGTTTTAGTGCTGAATTCTATCAGACCTTCAAGGAAGACCTAATATCAATTCTCTTCAAACAATTCCATAAAATAGAAACAGAAGGAACACTACCCAATTCATTCTATGAAGCTACAATCACACTCATACCTAAACCTCACAAAGACCCAACAAAGAAAGAGAACTTCAGACCAATCTCCGTTTTCAATATCGATGCAAAAATACTCAATGAAATTCTTGCAAACCGAATCCAAAAACATACCAAAACAATAATCCATAATAACAAGTAGGCTTTATCCCAGGAATGCAGGGATGGTTCAATATTCAGAAATCCATCAATGTAATCCACTATATAAACAAACTCAAAGAGAAAAACTGCATGATCATCTCACTAGAGGCTGAGATAGCATTTAACAAAATTCAACATCCCTTCATGGTAAAAGTCTTGGAAAGATCAGGAATTCAAGGCCCCTACCTAAACATAGTAAAAGCAATATACAGCAAACCAGTAGCCAGCATCAAACTAAATGGAGACAAACTTGAAGCAATCCCACTAAGATCAGGGACTAGACAAGGCTGCCCACTTTCTCCCTACCTATTTCAATATAGTATTGGAAGTCCTAGCTAGAGCAATTAGAAAACAAAAAAGAAGTCAAAGGAATACAAATAGGAAAGGAAGAAGTCAAAATTTCACTATTTACAGATGATATGATAGTATACTTAAGTGACCCCAAAACTTTTACCAGAGAACTCCTAAACCTGATAAAGGACTTCAGCAAAGTAGCTAGTTATGGCCGTCCCACAGCCTGACACGCTGCACGGTCCCTCAGTCTCCCATGGTTGCCTCCCCAGGCATGGCACAGGGCCTCGCCACACTATGGCAGCAGCAAGACACAGCACGCTCGACTTCACGCTTGGTGCCAAAGCCGATGGTGAGGCCATTCTGAAAGGCCTTCAGTCCATTTTTCAGGAGCAGGGGATGATAGAGTCCATGCACACCTGGCAGGACCATGGATATTTAGCAACTTACACAAACAAGAATGGCAGCTTTGCCAATTTGAGAACTTATCCACATGGATTGGTGTTGCTGGACCTTCAGAGTTACGACAGTGATGTGCAAGGCAAACAAGAAACTGACAGCCTTTTGAACAAAATAGAAGAAAAATGAAAGAATTGAGTCAAGACAGTACTGGGCGGGTGAAGCGACTACCACCTATAGTTCGAAGAGGGGCAATTGACAGATACTGGCCTACAGCTGATGGGCGCCTGGTTGAGTATGACATAGATGAAGTGGTGTATGATGAAGATTCACCCTATCAGAACATTAAAATTCTACACTCAAAGCAGTTTGGAAATATTCTCATCCTCAGCGGGGATGTTAATTTGGCAGAGAGTGACTTGGCATATACCCGGGGCGTCATGGGTAAAGAAGACGACACTGGCAAAGAGGTACTCATTCTGGGAGGTGGGGATGGAGGCACATTATGTGAAATTGTCAAACTGAAACCAAAGATGGTCACTGTGGTAGAGATTGACCAAATGGTAATTGATGGTTGTAAGAAATACATGTGGAGAACATGTGGAGATGTCTTAGACAATCTTAAAGGAGATTGCTATCCGGTTCTTATAGAAGACTGCATTCCAGTACTGAAGAGGTACGCCAAAGAAGGGAGAGAGTTTGATTATGTGATTAATGATCTGACAGCTGTCCCTATCTCTACATCTCCAGAAGAAGATTCCACATGGGAGTTTCTCAGACTGATTCTTGACCTGTCAATGAAGGTTCTGAAACAGGATGGAAAATACTTCACACAGGGGAACTGTGTCAACTTGACTGAAGCCCTGTTGCTCTATGAAGAACAGCTGGGGCGCCTGTATTGTCCTGTGGAATTCTCAAAAGAGATTGTCTGTGTCCCTTTATACTTGGAATTGTGGGTATTTTACACTGTTTGAAAGAAAGCTAAGCCTTAAAGAAGAGCATCCCCTGAATGACGTGTGCTGCAAGCCAACTTCCTGACCTCCATATGCCGTGTATGCCATCAATTCATGAATTCCTTAAAGTGGTTTTCATTTTTAATTATTATTTTTAATTTTAAAAAAGCCAATGGGAAAAATGTATATTTTGATGAGTTTGGGTGTTAATTTTTAATTAGACCAGCAAAGACTGCGGAATGCGCTGACCCCCTAGAATGTGATTTTAGTATCTTTTTTTCCTCTGTGTGGGGTTTGGGTTTTTGTTTTTGTTTCAGTAGACCTTTAATTTGGACACGTGGAGGAATGAACATCATTGTTTTGTTCTGGAGAGAAGTTCCTGATAGTGTTTCTCCCCTCTCACCCCCAAATTGACTTAGATATTAAATTTGGTGCTTTTAAAGGTTTTTTTTAAAAAGTGGCTGGTTATAAAATCAACTCAAACAAATCAGTAGCCTTCGTCTAGTCAAAAGATAAACAGGTTGAGAAAGAAGTTAGGGAAATAACGCCCTTCACAATAGTCACAAATAATATCAAATACCTTGATGCGAATCTAAACAAGCAACTGACAGATCTGTATGACAAGAACTACAAGTCTCTGAAGAAAGAAATCAAAGATCTCAGAAGATGGAAAGATCTCCCATGCTCATAGATTGGCAGGATTAATATAGTAAAAATGGCCATCTTGCTGAAAGCCATCTACAGATTCAATGCAATCCCCATTAAAATCCCAACTCAATTCTTCACAGAGTTAGAAAGAAATTCTCAAATTCATTTGGAATATCAAAAAACCCAGGATAGCGAAAACTATCCTCAACAATAAAAGATCTTCTGGAAGAATCACCATCCCTGACCTAAAGCTGTACTACAGAACAATAGTGATAAAAAACTTCATGGTATTGGTACAGAGACAGGCAGGAAGATCAATGGAATAGAACTGAAGACCCAGAAATGAACTCACACACCTATGGTCACTTGATCTTTGACAAAGGAGCTAAAATCGTCCATTGGAAAAAGGACAGCATTTTCAACAAATGGTGCTGGTTCAACTGGAGGACAACATGTAGAAGAATGAAAATTGATCCATTCTTATCCCCTTGTACAAAGCTCAAGTCTAAGTGGATAAAGGACCTCCACATAAAACCAGATACACTGAAACTAATAGAAGAGAAGGTGGGGAAGAGCCTCGAATACTTGGGCACAGGGGAAAAGTTCCTGAACAGAACTCCAATGGCATATGCTCTAAGACCAAGAATTGACAAATGGGACCTCATAAAATTGCAAAGTTTCTGTAAGGCAAAGGACACTATCAACAGGACAAAACAGCAACCAACAGATTGGGAAAAGATCTTTATCAATCTCACATCTGATAAAGGCCTAATATCCAATATATACAAAGAATTCAAAAAACTAGACTCCAGACAACCAAATAACGCTATTAAAAAATGGGGTATAGAGCTAAACTAAATTCTCAACTGAGGAAACTCGAATGGCTGAGAAGCACCTAAAGAAATGTTCAGCATCCTTAGTCATCAGGGAAATGCAAATCAAAACAACCTTGAGATTCCATCTCACACCAGTCAGAATGGCTAAGATCAAAAACTCAGGTGATAGTAGATACTGGTGAGGATGTAGAGGAAGAGAAACAGTCCTCCATTGTTGGTGGGATTGCAAGATGGTGCAACCACTGTGGAAATCAGTTCCTGGCAGTTCCTCAGAAAATTGGACATAGCATTACCTGAGGATCCAGCTATACCACTCCTGGGCATATACCCAGAAGATGCTCCAGCATATAACAATGACAAATATTTCTCTATGTTCATAACAGCCTTATTTATAATAGCCAGAAGCTGGAAAGAACCCAGATGTCCTTCAGCAGAGGAATGGATACAAAAAATGTGGTACATTTACACAATGTAGTATTACTCAGCTATTAAAAACAATGAATTTGAGAAATTCTTAGGTAAATGGATGGAGTTAGAAAATATCATCCTGAGTGAGGTAACCCAATCACAAAAGAACACACATGATATTCACTCACTGATAATTGGATATTAGCCCAGAAGCTTGAAAAACCCAAGATTCAACTCACAGATCACATGAAGCTCATGAAGAAGGAAGACCAAGTGTGGGCACTTTGGTCCTTCTTAGAAGGAGTAACAAAATACTCAAGGGAGCAAATATGGAGACAAAGTGTGGGACAGAAACTGAAGGAGGGGCCGTCTGGAGACCATTCCACCTAGGTATCCATCCCATCTGCTGTCACCCAGTGTAGACGCTTACGTGGATGCCAGGAAGTGCATGCTGACAGGAGCCTGATAGAGCTGTGTCCTTAGAGGTCTGCTAGAGTCTGACATTTTCAGAGGCAGATGCTCACAGCTAACCATTGAACTGATCAAGGGATTCCCAATGGAGGAGTCAGAGAAAAGGAGTTGAAGGAGTTGAAAGGATTTGTGGCCCCATGAGGAGAGCTACAATACCAACCAACCAGAACTCCCAGGGTCTAAACCACCAGCCTGGGAGCACTTAGGGAGGGACCCGTGGCTCCATCTGTATACGTAGGGCAGGATGGCCTTGTTGGGCATAGATGGGAGAGGAGATCCTTGGTCCCATGAAGGCTGGATGCTGAGTGTGGGGGAATTTGAGGGTGGGGAGCTGAGAACCCTCATAGAAACAGGAGGAGGGGAGATGGGATAGGGGATTCCTGGGGTGGGGAAGGGGTAAGGGGATAATATCTGAAATGTAAATAATATATTCAATAAAAAATTTTTAAAAAGTAACTTGGTTAGGGAAGAAAGAAAGAAAGAAATCAAAGACTTCATAGAACAATGAAAATAAAGACACATCATACCCAAACTTAGGGGACACAGTGAAAGCAGTGTTAAGAGGGTAATTTAAAGCACTAAGTGTCTTCATAAGGAAATTGGAGAGATCTTTTACAAGCAACTTAACAGCACATCTGAAAGCTCTAAAACAGAAAGAAGCAAACATACCCGAGAAGAGTAGATCTCAGGAAATGTTCAAAATCAGGGCTAAAATCAACCAGGTAGAAACAAAGAAAATGATACAAAGAATAAACAAAACCAAAGCTGGTTCTTTGAGAATATAAACAGGATAGATAAACTAACTTAGCCAAACTAACTAAAGGGCACAAAGAAAGTTTCTAAATTAAAAAAAATCAGAAATTAGAAGGTAGACATAAGGACCAGAGGAAATTAATAAAAATCATCAAAAAAAAGAGCCTATACTACAAAATTGGAAAATCTAAATGAAATGGATGATTTTCTAAACAGATACCACATACCAAAGTTAAATCAAGATCAGGTAAACTAAACAGTTCCATAACCCATAAGAAAATAGAAATAGTCATTAAAAACCTTTCAACCAAGAAATTGTTTTCCATCCTTTTACTCTGAGGTAGTGTCTGTCTTTGTCACTGAGGTGGATTTCCTGTATGCAGCAAAATGCTGGGTCCTGTTTACATATCCAGTCTGTTAGCTTATGTCTTTTTATTGGAGAATTGAGTCTGTTTATCCACTCTCAGAGTTTTCTAGTGGAGACTTCAGGGTCTCATGCATGGAGCTTGTCACCTGAAAACCAGGGATGCTTTGACTCTTTCCTTTCCTGTTCATACCCTTTTTATTTCTTTTTGCTACAGAGGTCATCTTAATCAAAACTACAAGTTTGCTAGCTTCTCTGGTCCCATCCAGGCTCTCAGGGAGCCTCAGGTACATCAGGGAGACATCTAGTTCTTGGTGTCCTGTTAGTGCTAGCTCAGCCAACATCCCCCCTCACGTCCATCCTTGGTCTTGCCTACCACTCTTCAGTCACACGAGAACATTTCTTACATGCCTCATGGTTTGCTGCTTTCTTGCTCCTCTGGTACACGGTTCTCATCCAAGAGCTCTAGACATTGCTTCAGACCCATATCTTTGATGATCACACTTGGTTTTGGAAACCTCTGATGCTCTCTAAAATCCATCCTAACATGCTATGCAGATAGATTCCTTTGGTCTCAGTTCTCGTATTCTGATTTGAAGGTTTTGTCTTAGATGACATATAAAAGCAGGAATTGTGTCAAATTACCTTCATACATGGTCTGTCGGTGGACTGCTAGACTAGAGACCAGAAGTCCTCTACTCCACTCAAGGCCTGATAAGTGAGTGGCAGTCAGTCCTAGACCTGGTTCAGTACTTGGCGTTAATTATGATTCTTCTTACGTGATCAAATGTCAGATGAGAAGAACTTAAGGGAAGAGGGGCTTGTTTTGGTTTACAGTTCCGTCATGATGGGGAAGGCACGGTGACAGGAGTATGAAGCTGCTTGTCCCAGTGTTTCCACACTCAGGAAGCAGAGCAAGGCTGGGAAGTGTGGCTGGCCTCAAGGCCTGCTCTTAGTTGCCCACTTTCTTCAGCCAGGGTCCACTTCAAGGCCCGTTCCCAGTCTGAGACAAAGTGTCCAACACCAGGAGCCTAGGAGTGTTTCAAACTCAAACCTTAACACTTACTTCTCACTGTGTGCCAGTCTGTCTTCATAGCTTAATGACTGTTCAGTGGGTATGTTACAGAAAGCATGGTGTTTAGATTGTGACTAACTTCTTCTGAGGAAGGCCTTATCATCATACTCCAGAAATTCAGGTGTATATTTCCTAAGAAAATGCTGTCCCACCCACCCATGCTCAGCTATGCAATGTCAGTGGGTGCCCAGGGTTTCCAACTTTTAACACTTATATCCGACTGCCTAAGGGTTTTCTCTGACCACTGATGTCAGGTCTCTTGCCTGTGTCAGAGGAGCTGACAGGCAAGGCATTAGTTCCTTCAGCGTAGCTTTCTATCAATGACTAACTAGAGTTAGTGAATGCTGAGTCCTTTACATGGCTCCAGGAACTTGACTTGACTGAGGACAGTGAAGACTGAAGAAATGACAGGCAGGCAGACAGACAGACAGACAGATAGGGATAAATAGCTGGGGTCAAGTGGACT